GTATCCAAGCTTCTCAATAAGGGGCAACAAACATTCTTTTTTGATCGTTCATATAAAGCAGTGGATAAAAATATATGTACGTACATACATGCGAAACGCAAATGTATGTGCTTAAAAGAACACGACTAATATTAACTCCAAAACCACACCAACTTTCATCTTTTTGCTTAATTTTTATCTTGCTTCCGACAGAGAATTGGTTTCGTACAAAATTAGCAAAAATAGCCAAAGATGTATTTTAATTTAATATACCTAGATCGTCAGAAAAATAACATAATTATTGCAAATCTTCTCACACTGGTATGAAATGGAATAAACTACGTAGTGCTTTCCAAACAAATGACATTAAAAATTACAAATTTAATAATTTGTGCAAAAAAGATGAAGTTTTCCGCTTTATTTAAACCAAAATGATTAAGTTATCTTTGCCCGTTCAGGAGTATGACCAACCAAAGAAATGATTATGTTAATATTAAATTCGCGATTTTTCGCAAAGTAAGAGGATTATTGCAAAATAAAGTATGTATAGGGAATCAAATATTGCCTGGACCTTTACCAAAGTACGTAACTATCGATTATCGAATTGAAATTTTATTGTGAGAGAGCGATTGTCTTATATTTTCCTTTGAGAATGAGCTGGGTTTCACTTTCTCTCTTTTTACTATGGTTAAATTTTTTTTCGAACCCATTTCGAGTGTATTTCAAATTTACTCTCATGACGCAATAATTAAAGGTGATATACGTAGTGACAGCTCGTTTCGACGACTCCCTTAGCTCAAGGTTGTATTTTGGAAGCATACGAAGCACGAGAGAAAAGGGAAGAAAAAAAGGCCGCTTTGCGAAATAGTACTAAATATAGTACGCATTTTCGTATCAAAGTATGAATTGAAAATTTGTTTACTAAGTTTAAATATAAGACTAAATGATTTCCATATTTTTTGGAATACTTTTAAGTAAATGTTATTAAATTTAGTATTAGTTGCTGCATCAGAATATAATAATAAAATCAGAATAAGACGAATATTTTATGATTTTTTAATTAATTTATTCAGTCTTTTAATTCGAAGATGCATTCTGCACTTAAAAAATAATTTTTTGGCATCAACTTCGCAGTCACAACCTTCGCTTTTTTTTATTAGGTTTTCAATGAATTTATTCTGCGTTTGTATCACCTGCCCGTTGAATTGGTAAAAATTTTTTTCTAACTGCTTTATTTTTTTCAAGAACTCACTCGAAGGCTTAATCAAAGCGCCCCATGAGACTTCGTCCACCCATGTATAGGAACTCTCCTTGCTTATATGGTGGGAGAGTCCTAGTTTTCTTATTATGTAGCCTGCTACATATTCCAACCCATCTTCGTGTAAAGCTTCGATTTCATCTAACTGAGATGGTTCTTCAAGGCTAGAAT